TGCAGTTGTGCTGAGGTCTCTGAATGCGGGGGGAGCTATTGTTTGTCCACTCACTTTTTCACTGATGATGCACAGCTGGACTGTGACACATGTCAGGGACTAAAATGTGGGTCGCACAATGTTACCACAGTGTCACCTGTGGCTGTAAAAAGTGCAGGTTAGGATGCTGGATAAAGGAAATAGATAATGTGGCAAAGCAAGTAAAGACTTCAGCCGTAAAACTGACTAAACCCTAACCTCCTGTAGCAAAGCCTCTACACTAAAGGGAAAATCCCTTTCTCAGTTTGTAAGTGAAAAATGCAACAACAAAAAAACCTTTGAAAAGAATCTGTGATTTAGCTTTCCTTTTGTTTGAACTTCCTGATTCCATTGTCGGGCATTTTTATAATAAAAGAATAGCAACCTGACAGATGCATGAAAAAGATATCAGCAACATAAAAATGATGTGCCTAATATTGTGTGTTGGCATTCCCGCCCCTCTGTTCTGACATCATGAAGCTGAGTTTTGATCCTGAATCAGGGTTGTCATGCGGATGCTCAAATGGATTATGGAAACATTTTGAGTTCTTCATTAGAATTGAACCATTCTGCAACATTTTTCATGGAAGGTGGGTGTTTGGTCTCCGGCAATGTTAAGGTGTAAAACCAAGGACCTGAAGTTACCCAACAAAACACTGCACTCTTATTCACTTCATGTCCACGACTTAGCTTCGCAGGCGTATAACATCTGCCTCTTTTCCAGTTGTACCTTCTCAGCTCAGCTTTTTACAGTTTTCACTAGGTTGTATTACCTGGAGTACTTTTTAGTACATACTCATCCAGGGTTCCAAAGGAGCTGAGTCGATCCAAAAATGTGATGTCAGCAAACTACATGACACAAGTTGACCAAATAAAGATGTCAGTCGATGAGTCGTGAGAATGACTCCTTCACAACATTCAAAACTGCCACCCAAATCTGCCAAACCAAGACCGAGCAGCAGGTGTACCGTCGCCTCGTCGTCCTCCATTGTTGTGTTGTGTTTGTGTCACATGCATATGATGTCACAGACTTTGAGACGCTTTGCTATAACAAGCCCCCGCACACTGAGGTGGTACTCAACTGTAATGGAAAACGACCAAATGATGAGTCGAGCTGAAGGATCAGAACTCAGTCAGCTCACTTTGACAAATGAGCTGCTTGATTTGTCAGCACAGTTTTTACGTTTCTATGCAGCATGCAAAGTCACACGATGTCTCTGTGGGTGTTCATTTGAT